GTGAGCAAAGAATGCGTGCTTTGTCCACCGGGCCCCAGGAACACGATGCAAAAAGGGGTAAGTCTGTCTGAACTAACCTCTCCCCTGTGTTAGCTCAGGATTCTGACTTTCATCCCTTCCTACTGCCTTTCCTTTTCTCTGGCACCGAAACGTATCTCCTTCAAATTTTACTTTCTCGGGCTTGAGAGCCACCTTGACCGAGAAAGTCATGGGCTATGCGACTCCACAAAGGAAGCTTCGAAGTCATCCAGTTGAGGGTGAGCAAGCCCATGGCCTACAGGCCCCCAGCTTGGCTTTGCACGGCCTGTGAGCTAAGAATGGTTTTTACAGTTTTAAACAATTGGGAAAAAAAGAGTGTGTGTTTTTTTTACGAGTATTTCATGACACAGGAAACTTTTGGTGTCCATAGGTAACAGCTGTGCCCATAATTTTCGTGCTGTTACGGCTACTCCCCTGAAACAGTGGCATAAGTAAGAAGTTGCAACAGAGACCTTTTGGCTCAAAAAGCCTGAAATATTTACTCCCTGGCTTTTCACAGAAAACGTTATCATCCTAATGCAGCTATTTTCAACTTATTTCATCTCATGGCAAACAAACTAATTACTAAAATTCTGCAGCACACCAAAATACATTTTTGCAAATATCTCACAAAAATAAATAGGTATAATTTTGATTTATTCACACCGGACAGCTATTGTTTTGTTGGCTGTTGTCATTTTTGTTTAGTTGGCAATCTAAGGGAAAAGGGGTCAGTGCCCCCAACTAAATAGTGAGGTATTGCATGCTTTAAAAATTCTTGCAGCCCAGCCAGCATGGCTCAGTGGTTGAGCATCGACCTCTGAACCAGGAGGTCATGGTTCGATTCCCGGTCAGGGCACATGCCCAGGTTGTGGGCTCAATCCCCCAGGGTGGGGAGTGCAGGAGGCAGCCAATAAGTGATTCTCTCTCATCATTGATGTTTCTATCTCCCTCTCCCTTCCTCTTTGAAATCAATAAAAATACATTTTTAAAAATTCTTGTAGCACTTCAGGTGAAAATTGCTGTCCTAATTTTACAGATGAGAAAATAAAGTCCCAAATAGGTGGACTGAACTGTCCAAATGTACACAGCTCATCAGGAATTGGTGTGGGTGCATCTTCTGTTGCCCACCATGCTGTTCCCATTGCAACAAAAGGTCTGCCCTCCGACGAGCCCGCGCGCGCACTCCTGGCAGAGGCCAAAGCAGCTTTGCCAGGAAAAGTAAACATTTAGGACCTATGGCCGTGTAAAGTCTGTGATTTCTTAGAATTTTAATTTTCACCTGAAATCCAGCTCCAGGAAATGTTTGAAGCTTAAAATACATTTGAGCAACCTGGAGAGACAGAAAGATGTCTCTGTGTTTCTTTGTAGTAATTGGTTGCCTCCTGGACTCAGCATTTGGACCGTAAAGACAAGCAGGGTGGACCTGGTCCCTGCGGGCTGAGATCATGGAACTCATTTCAAGAACAAGAACTTGTGGTCTCCATCTGAATCGGCACTTGAACAGTTTAAAAAAATCACAGAAAGCACGTTAGGTGGAACTCAGGCTCCTTTACGGGGGCCGAAAGCAAAGGTTCCAAGATGCTAATGGTCTGAAAGTGAGGTTGCCTCTACTGTCCAGTGCAGGACCTGCCCCGTCCCGGTCACATGGAGGTAACACTGGGGTGTGCTTGCTGATTGGCACGGGATTCCCATCACTGGGATTTTCAGACATTGTCTCAGCTTGGTACCAGCACCCTTGTAGGCATCTTCTACAATCTGTCTGTCTCTCCAGGTTACTAAAGCCCATCCAGTTTAACCCTCCAGTCTCATGCCCCCTTCAGAGCTTCCCCTTCCTGTAACACCCAGGCATACACTCAGGGGCTGGGGGTGTTCTCTCTGGCTCTGACCCTCACCTCTTCCTCTCCTTCTAGAGCAGTGATGGCGAACCTATGATACGCGTGTCAGAGGTGACACGCGAACTCAATTTTTTGGTTGATTTTTCTTTGTTAAATGGCATTTAAATATATAAAATAAATATCAAAAATATAAATCTTTGTTTTACTATGGTTGCAAATATCAAAAAAATTCTATATGTGACACGGCACCAGAGTTAAGTTAGGGTTTTTCAAAATGCTGACATGCCGAGCTCAAAAGGTTCGCCATCACTGTTCTAGAGTCTGTTTCCTCAGGTGTGTTGGGGAGAACGGACAAGAGTCCCTTACTTCACTGGCCGCTTTTGGTGCCTCCCTGCTGGTCATCCCAGTTCCCCTGAGTAAAGCCAATTACCTTTGATGCCCTCGTCCATCAGGGCTGGCGTCCAGGTGCTGGCTTTCTGGTGGGGTGCATGTGACTTCTCTCCGGGGGCATATCCCACAGTCTAGCTGCTGGAGACCTGACCTGCACACTGCGTTTCGGGAGGGCCAAGCTTGGCTCTCACAGTGGTATCCACCGGGCCTGGCCCATTCTCTCCTGCCATGCGTGTTCTGCGCCCTGGTCCTCAAAGGTCCCAAGTTCTGTCCTCTGCAGGTGCGTCTGTTTCGTCTTTCTGCAATGGTGTCCCCTGTCTCCCCGCTGCCAACCTCACCTGCACCCCAGGTGGGTCTGCACTCACCCTTCCGGCCCGACTTTAAATGCCACTTCATTGGAGAAGCTAACCCTTAAGCTCTACACAGATGTGATCTCCTGTTCATTGTTTGTATAAAACCGTCTTATTTCCCTTCATGCTACCGATTACAACTATAATTGTATAGTAACTTGAGTCATTACCTGTTTCCTTCAGTGGCCTGTAATTTCCTCCGGGCAGGAGCCATGTCTGTCTGATTCCCCAGCACGGGGCCTGGTGTGGAGTGGCCATCTCCACAAACAGGCGAGAGGTGAATGCGGTCACATTGTATTCCTTGTATTCTATGCAGCAAAATAGGGTTCACGTTTGGCTATCTTTCTAATTCTTTTGAATTCTTGATGGTATGTTATTTTAAAGTAATATAATACCTTATATTAAAATCTTGTGTGGATACTAGGTAAAATGAGGTTGAAAAGATAAGCAAATGCATCAACAGTACAATTTACTTTGTCTGGTGAAAGTTTCCTTTACTGAGGCTCCACCAAGTACCAGGAACACTTGTCAATGACTGAGAATTTGAAACCAAAAGACGTGCGTCCTGGCCTCAAAGAGACACTCAGCCCAAATTCTGATTCAGTTTCCAGTTTTAACTTTACCTGCCTCCCCTCCTCCTTCCTTCTTTCCTTTTCATGTATATCAATCTAAGGAGCTTTATTTCTAGCAACTTGGAAAAAAAACTGAACCAAGAATAATTTTTATGGAGTGGTTTTGTGTGATCCTTAATTTTTTTTCTCCCTGGAAAGGAGAATTCATAGAACCCCTCCGTGTCATGTGGACTTCAAGGCTGGATGTCAGCACACATTTGGGGCAATCCTGGGTGGTGTGAATGGCCAGCAAAAGTGTACTTGAAGCATAAGTTTGAAGATTGCCCTGCACATCTGTTATCTTCATATACTTATGGAGACCGGCATGACTTTTAACAAACACGGATACTTAGGACAGTTGTAGGAAATTCACACCTGTTTGCCCTGGGGTTGCTACACCGCGTGAACCTGAGTGATTCTGTGCGGTTTCCTTGTTGTCTTCAGAGCCTTGGAAAGGATCCTGGCTGTCTCCCTGTGCGCTGTGCTGTATTACCCACATCCTTTGTTCCTCAGGCTTTCTGGGGGCTGCTCAAGGAGAGGAGAGTGAATGGTTAATTGCTTTTCTCTCCCCTCATTCAGTTTTCAGCTCCAGAGACAGCCCGGCTCACTTCCTTGTTTCCTTGCAGCAGCCGGCCGCCTAGTGGAGTCACTGGGAAAGGCAGGCTGTGATGGTGGAATCTGAGGCTCCAGCCCCCAGAGACCACTCACTGAGGAGCCTAGGCAGCAAAGTAATTAAACGTTCTGTCACTCCTCTGCAGCTCATGGGACCCGAGGGGAGCTTCCTTTTATTGCATCGCGTTTTTAGTGGTTGTATTTCTATGTATGTTTGAGAAGGTGTTTGCAAAAACCTTATGTTAAGGCCAATAAAACTGTGGGGTGACCGGAGAATAAAATCCACAAAATCAAATTAGTACACAAATTTCCCCAGTAATCCATAACTGACATTTTAATTATATTGTAATTAACTTAACTTTGATCCAAATTAAGAACCTTCTCTTCCCCTGGTGCTGCCGTAAGTTTCTCGTGTCTCCCAGTTGTAGGGCTCGTGATGCTACACTTTGAATCGTTGGGGACCTCAGGGAAATTCATCTTCATTTTAGAAACCAGATGAATAGGACTATAGAACTGGAAAGAACGTTTTAGAACTAGGCCATCCATTTCTTTATTTTGTGCATGCGACCACCAAGATCCCGAGAACCTGTAGCATTTTGTGGACGATGGCCTGGTTCTCCAGTATCAGTTTACTCCTCTGTGATTCTTATTCTAGAAGAAATCCCGCTAGTTGGAAATAAAATGTAGCTTGGAGAAGTGCTTTTGTTGGTTGGTTTTTTTTGCGGGGGGGAGGGGTCCTTACTACTGATTGTGTGTGTTTGTGTGCACGCGTGTGTGTGTCCTTCGCAGCCAGCTGCAGCCCTAACCCAAGGCCTGGGTGGTGAGAGCGGGAGAGTGCCTCTGTGGCCAGTGAGCCTTGACCTCCACTTGGAAGATGAACAATAACAGAGACCCAGAGAGCACGTGTGTGGCTCACCCTGTTTCACAGCTCCGCTCTGCTGATGCCCTGGGACAGCAGGCTCCCTCCAAATAGTGTCCCTTCTGCTAGTTAGGAAGTATACACGCACAGTTAATTAGAGCAAATTTACGTAAGAAATATACTCAACTGGAACAAAATAACCTGTAATTGGGTAAAGTTACCATAGAGTCTTTAGGGCATTTTTTGCATTGCTGTTTTTTGCCTTTAGAAATTACTAATAGATTTTTATTTAATTTCTCGCTTGCTTTCTTTCAACCCTCAGCATATAAACAATGACCATATTCATGGAGAGAAGAAGGAATTTGTGTGCCGGTGGCTAGATTGCTCAAGAGAGCAGAAGCCCTTCAAAGCCCAGTATATGCTGGTGGTGCATATGAGACGACACACGGGAGAGAAACCTCACAAATGCACTGTGAGTACACAGGTGGTACAGGCTATCAGCTTGGGGGTCACCTCACACCTGTGGGTGTCAGGATTCGTACCATGGGTGCTTTGCCATACTCTCAGGGTTGTGCATGATGATGACTCCAGCTCAGGGGTGGCATGGCTGGGTGGCGGGCGCTGTCTGTGATAAATACAGTGGTTTGTCAAAGTGATTTCTGAAATGGAAGGGAAGCGAGAAATGGAGAAAGAATGCTGACAGCTGAGCTTTGGGGGATGATGGACGTGTTCTAGATGCACGTGTACTGTCCAACACAGTAGCCACAAGCCACATGTACCTCTTGTGCACTTTCTAAAAAATATATTTTTACTGATTTCAGAGAGGAAAGGAGAGATAAGAAACATCAATGATGAGATAGAATCATTGATCAGCTGCCTCCTGCACACCCCCTATTGGGGACCGAGCCCGTAACCTGTGGGCATGTGCCCTGACTGGAAATCAAATCGTGACACCGGCCGGGCTCTTGTGTGCTTTTGAGATTTGGCTAGAACCAGGGAACTAATTTTTAAAATTTGTTTTTGGAAGATTTAAATATAAATATTCCCCTGTGGCTAGCAGGATGGACAGCACAGCTGTGCAGAGTGGCAAGTGGGCAGGCAGTGGCTGGGACACACAGGGCCTGCCCCAGTGCCCATATCCATTGTGTCAGAGGACTTGGAGGGCAAAAGCCGGTGCCAACTGTGATTTTAAAAACTTAAGTTGACTTTAAAAAATATATAACCTATATAGTTTTAGAGTATTTCCTCTCCCTCTTAGTCTGTTCTCGTGGCCCAGTATAAGCCTACCCACAACGAGGCTGGGACTCCTAGGAGGCTAAGCCTTTTCTCACTGAGGTGCCCGGCAGGCACACTGGGCACTGCTCAGCCCTGATGCTTTACATCTTAAAGGCCCTTTATAAACACACAAAGCCATATAATGAACTTGGTGCTGAATCTGAAATCAGTGGGAATTCAAGGAGATCAATGAGCAGATAATGAAACCCATTGTCTGCACTGAGTGGTCTCTTAAGAAAAGATCTCCATGACTTTCACCAGCACTGAAATGCTTTCTCTGGAGCTGCACTAAATCCCAATAAATGCAGAGTTTAGTGGACTTTTGTTCCTTGGTTTTGAAAAGCTGCTGACCCTCAAAACGTCAGTCTTCTGTCAACTGGAGGGAAAGTTAAGCATAAGCTGTTATTGTGTGGAGTAATCCAGATTTACCTGTTGTCTTCAGTTTGAAGGTTGCACAAAGGCCTACTCGAGACTCGAAAACTTGAAAACACACTTGAGATCTCACACTGGAGAGAAGCCATATGTCTGTGAGCATGAAGGTTGCAACAAGGCTTTCTCGAATGCTTCCGATCGTGCCAAGCACCAAAACAGAACACATTCCAATGAGGTAAGGCTCCCCATGAGACACACTTGGGGCCCAGACGTTGTGGGTAGAAACAGTGAACCTTCATGGAGACCATACGTGGAGGGAGAGGTGAACCTGTTCCATTCTGTTTCCTCATGACCATTCCCAGCACGAGTGAGCACCGATGCTGCCGGTGAAGGCCTGGGGCCTCGAGCTAGGGCTGAAAATGGCCTGGTTTGGAGAGGAATGCTGACGAAGAGGGAACTTCTTAAAACCCCTGGCAAACAGGTTCTACTTTTTTTCAGAACTGCCACCTGCTGGTCAAACAGTAAGAGCATTGAACTTGGAATTCCATCCACTTGCTAGGCCAGGAGTAGCATGAATCCATGGGAAGGATGACCCTGTGAGCACCAGGCATAGAGTCCAAAGCCACATGTTGACAGCTGGCAGCAGCTTTCCACTAAAACAGCCATTTTTATTTGCTTTCTCCAGGTGTCGTATCTTCCAATGCATTATATTTAAAAAAGACTTTTACAGAGCAACCAGCCTTGGCTAACTATGATTTCCAGACATTCTGTATTCCAATGGGTCTTGGAAGTTATTCTCGGAAACTCAGAATGGTTTCTATTCAGTTATTTAAGATAACATGTTGAGTAAAGCTTCATGGTTGGTGAGTGGGCGGATCCTGTTGTGTTGCTGTTATTTTTAGGTAGTTATTCCCTCAAAATTTCAGGGAAGCATAAGAAGAAAATGATTTCAGATTCACTTTGTGTACATGTTAATGCATGCCTGCTTGCACACTCCAACTTCATGAAGATCTAGCTCCTTCTGGCTCTTCTGTGAACCTTCTCTTGAATGAATCCGGAAATGAACAAAAAAGCTTCCATAGTTTGGGTAGAAATAGGAGAGTTACCTAGAATTTGTTAATATGAAACATAGCTCTGCCCCACAAGTATGCCAGCAGTTTGCTTGAAATGTGTGAGAGAAGGAACATTTTGACCTTGGCATGGCTGTCACCTGACCTCCCAAGGTGCTGGGAAGCCCATCCATGATCTCCCGGATGGAGAGTTGAGAGAAGGAATCTGGTTAAAAACAGTGTGCCGTCAGCTCACTGGCCATTGGCTTTGGTGGCAAAGATGGTCCTCACTGAGTTTCCTTTCAACTGAACTGGCAGAACAAAAACATCTCTGCCCTAGTCGGTTTGACTCAGTGGATAGAGCATCAGCCTGGGGACTGAAGGGTCTCGGGTTCAATTCCAGTCAAGGGCACGTGCCTCAGTTGCAGGCTCCATCCCCAGCCCTGTTTGGGGCCGATGTGGAAGGCAACCAATCATTGTGTCTCTCTCGCATCAATATTTCTCTCTATCTCTCCCCACCCCTTCCACTCTGTCTAAACAATCAATGGAAAAAATATCCTCGGGTGAGGATCAACAAAAACAGTAGAAACAAAAAAAACCCCATCTCTAAGGAGATTAACCACACTCCCTAAAAAGCACTCACATAAACTCACACATGGAGGTTCACATACTTAACTCTTTGAAAGGTCGTGGTGGAATAAGGAAACGTCATTTGGAATATCTTGTTATTGGTCAACTGTTTGAGGATGTTTTAGGGAAGATGCTTCATCTCCTTTTTATATGTCAAAACGCTTTTACCATGTGCAGTGGTTAGTGTAATCTGCTATACTACATTAGTGGTTGCCAGAGGCTGCCAGATACAGGGTTTCTTTTCAGGATGGTGAGAATATTCTATAATTTAATAGTAGTCATGTTTACACAACATTGTGAATGTACTAAATGACACCGAATTATGCATCTTTTAAAAGGTGTTTTTTTATAGTATGTGAATTATGTCTCTATTTAAAATGTTTTAGGGGATTTGATTAACTGAACTTAGAATTTAATTAATGTGTTTAACTACATTTAATATAGTTAAGTATCATTTTGACTAGAAACTTAGAGGGTATTTATTCCTGTGGATTTTAGGCCAAGGTTCTCTCCTGTTATTGTGGAGAAATTTAAGTAGTGGGTATGTTCAGATTAGCAATGCATACACATAAACATACTACTCAGCTTTTTATCTCTTCATGGACTTTAAAACATGTACACATGTATGTTTGCTGTAATTAAGTGTATTACAGTTGAGCTTCTGTTCTTTTGTTAGGTAGAAAGAGCCGTGCCCAATGAGAGTTTAAATGCGTTGTGAGGTTAACAGGTATCTTGGTTAATATTTTTTACCAAGGCTGAGCAGTTTTTAAAATAACTAAAAAAAATGTCCATTACAGTTGACATAAAATGTTATATTAGGTTCATGTATACAACATAGTGTTAGACATTACAAAGTGATTGCCCCGATAAGTCTAGTATCCATCTGACACCAAAGTTGAGTAATTTTCCTAAAAGAAATTGTTAACATTGACCATAAACACAGAATAAAATTTCATTCACAAACATGTAAATTATTCTTCTCTCTTCTTTATATAAGGCTTGTCCTGGCATATGAATGATGGACAGTTTCTGATACACCAAAATTGTTTGTCTAGGAAATCCAGTGTTGTATAATCTCACAATCCTAAATAAGTCTAGATGCCATCTTTCATTTGTTTGCTTTCTTAGTGGTAGCTTCATTGATTTACTAATCAATATCAATAGCTAATGTGCAAAACACTTGGCTGTTGTAGGTGCAGCAAGGAGCACGGTGGACTAGACTAAAGGCCGTAATTCCCACTCGAGGAAGCTAGTTCCTCCCAAAGCCACACTAACTAAGCACATTCCCTTGAGCTCCAATTTGGTCGTATCTCCCTCTCCATAAGGTTCCAATGGCTCCTTCTTTCCTGTGGGAATGTTAGACTCCTCAGGCTTGTACCTGTGCTCACCCAGCCCAGGCCTGCTCTTGCAGTCTTGACCTTTTGTCATCGTGACCATGAATGGAACCTCCCAGACAGCCTCAGCTTGATCAGCCATGACCCACACATGAAGTGGTCCCGCTGCTGGACCTTTGCTCAGGGATACTTCTTTTCCTCCACCCTCTTGCCCTCATTTTTATCCCTCAGAATCTTGTTCTTCTTTCATGGTCCAACTACAAGGCCTCCCCCTACTAAAAGCTCTGTTTATTGAGAACTTACTATGTGCAACACGTTGTGGTAACCACTTTGTGTACATTATCTTTTTTTAAATATATTTTTATTGATTTCAGAGAAGAAGGGAGAGAGAGATAGAAACATCCATGATGAGAGAGAAAATCATTGATCTGCTGCCTCCTGCATGCCCCACACTGGGGATCAAGCCCACAACTTGGGCAGATGCCCTGACCAGAATTGAACCTCCTGGTTCATAGGACGACACTCAACCACTGAGCCACACCGGCCGAGCTACATTATCTTATTTAACCCTTACCATGACCCTTACCGTTTCTTTTATACCCAATATAGACATTTAATGCTTCCCACAGTCATCCTAACTAAAATATGATTCCCCTCTGCCCACATCCTTCTGTAGCATGCACACTTTATATTGTAGATAATTACATGCTGTTATGTTTTTCTTACCATATTTTATAATCCTTGAGATTAACTCCTGTTGTATATAACTTTGTGTTCAGAGAGTCTTGCCTATAGCAGAGATCATTCAATGTGTATTGAAAAAGTTCTCGGGGTAAATTTTACAAAGTCAAGTACAAACCATATCAATTGCTTTTACAAAGTACCATTCAGTGCAGTGAGTCAAAAAGGTACTGGCCACACCAAAAGTGGAACATGCAGGACAGGAAATACAGGTACCTCAGCTGAGAAAGTCTGACAACATTTACCTTCGCCTACAGTTATATTTCATTTTACTCATGGGGGACAACAAAATTTGGGTGCCAAGCTACATAGTTGAGCTAATGTGTTTTGTTGTGAAGCCTAAGTTTCCAGAACCTGTGTCTTTATGGATTTTTGCAGGTGGAAAGTCTATATGTTCACACGCAGGACACCTGGGCACACACGTATGTGCTCTTGTTCTTGAAATGTAAGAGTTGACAAATATTTGTAGACTCATTTCACTTAGAGCTATGTTCCCATTTCCAGGTGAACCCATAGTGTGCACATGCATATATTTATAGGAAAAATAGCTCTTCAAACATGTCACGCTGACCTGGCTTTGTCCCCCACCTTCCTCCAATCCCCACACACCTGCCCCATGCAGCCCACTCTGTCTGCTGATGGAGCAGCATGTCATAGCCGGGCAGTGAGCATGCATAGGGCCCATGTCAGAGTACTATAAGGTAATAGCACTAATCATCAGAGCCATTCTTCTGTCCCTAATGCACAGAATTTGATGTGCTTATTTCATTACACACACACACACACACACACACACACACACACACACACACTGCAAATCACAGGAGCTCCTGAATAAAAGTCATTCGTAGTTAATGAGAATCAGTTCTACCCAAAAGAATCTCAAATTTGGAGTTGAAGTATTTCAGGATGATTTTCATAGTCCTTGCTTCACTCCATTAGGACCTTTCATCATTATTGGAGGCAGCACTCCATCTGTTCTTGGGCTTTTAGTGGAAAAGCATCTTTTAGACACATACACTCTATAAGATAGGGTATCTTTTTAGATATAATGGATGCATTATATTGATCATGCTTTTTATAATTATTGCTTACCTAATAGTTCATCTTCTGGTATGTAGATACAGATATAAGTATGTATTCTTATAAGCATGCATGAATATATTTCAAGTCAAGTAAACAAATCCATAATTGCGATATTGGTCATGAAATACAATGCCAGCCATTCTGTAATCTGAGTAACATTCAGCTATATGCATCCATGTAATTTCTGTGACTGTAGCTGTAGGCTTGATCACTAGCCCCCATAGAAAATGAAATTAACATGAAATAATTTATAGACCTTCGTACTCAGGAGCAGAGCCCAGGCCAGGAATCTTCATCTCCAGGTCATCATCCCTTAGCCCTTTTCAGTTTATGGGTAAGCTTTCATGGAAAGTCTAACAGGGCTTTACGACTCTGAGGATCAGAAAGGTTCTGGATATTCTGAGCCCTGACCATCCCCACAGAATTGTAATGCTACTCAAAGGACAGTATTTTAATGATACCTAACACGGAAGAATCTGTAGGCAATTTTTTTTCTGCCTAAGTGTAAAAAGCACATTTTCAAAGGGGTAGAGTGATATTAGAGCTGAGAACTAGGACAGCCATAAGATATTTTTTCACACGAGCTCTCCCAAAAGGTATATAACATTCTTTTGATTAAATGATGGGTATCTTTTATGCCTTCCTCTGTCATCATCATCATCATCATCAATGTCATCATCAAATAGCTATTCAGAACCTACTATGATACTACCATACTTCTTCCTACTCAAAGGATAAATGTTTCCAGTATTATAAATGCAGGTTGTATAGTCTTCGCTCTCCCTGACCATTCTCTAAAGCATTGATGTCTTAAAGATAGATTCTCTAGACCGTGGACAATGTTCAAATGGCCTTTATTAAACCTCTGTATCATTTAGAGGTATTTGAATACCTCAAAGCTTTGTGGAAGTGCTTTTAAAGAATTAAAAATATAATGAGCAACCACAAAAGACTGTTGGGCTTGGGCATAATCACTTTCCTAACAGTCTGTTATCTCCTTCTCGTGGCATTTGGCAGAAACCATATGTATGTAAAATCCCAGGCTGCACTAAGCGCTACACAGACCCCAGCTCTCTCCGGAAACACGTGAAGACAGTGCACGGCCCAGAGGCTCATGTCACCAAGAAGCAGCGTGGGGACATCCATCCTCGGCCCCCACCACCACGAGATTCCGGCAGCCATTCCCAGTCCAGGTCACCTGGCCGGCAGACTCAGGGAGCCCTTGGTGAGCAGAAGGACCTCAGCAACACTACCTCAAAGCGGGAGGAATGCCTCCAAGTGAAAACGGTCAAGGCGGAGAAGCCCATGGTACGTCATTCACTTTCCTTCTGATTGTCCCAAAGCCATCTGAGGTCATTTACCAGAGCTGGAGAGAGCTCTGAGAGAGAATAGGCTGCCCCCATCCTCACGGCATCCAGCTCTTTGATTGAAGGAGGTCAAAGCTCAGTGACCTCCGTGACCTGGATTACTTACTCAAAGTCACTCCACCGAGAATAACTCAGCTCAAAAAAAGGGTTTCTAGGTTTCCTCAATGGTTTTTAAAGTAGACCTGCAGCCGTACCACCTTGTGGCAGACAGAAAGACACGACTGTCTACATTTTCAATGTAATGTAGAAAATCATTCATTGGGTCTTTCTGTTAACAGGTGTTCTGTCTTCTTTGCCCTGGCGACTCCAAGTTAAATAACCATTGTCTCTATTCTTCAGGGGTTTATAATCCAGTGGGATATGCAGCCCAGAGAAACAAATATAACTCCGGGTGATGGGGCTTTAGCACACATCTGTGTAAGAACATCGGAGAGGGGAGCTCACCACCAGTGCAGCTCGAGGATGTGATGTGGGAGGCAGAGGAAGAGGTGCTGCCAAGTTCAACACTCAGACAGGGAAAGGAGCAGACTGATCTGGCATAGCCAGGCACCAGCCGTGGGACCTCAGGGCAGTGCCCAATAGGCATGAGGATATAAGGGATTATGTTTTTCTGCTGAGTTTTTAGAAACTACAGCTTTAGTGCCCTTCTGGAGACTGGTTTGGTAGACTGGAGACCATTTCACAGAGGTGTCTGAACCAAGGAGGTGCAGAGCAAGGGAGGGATTGAAAGGCCTCCAGCAAACACCTTTATGGTTTAGTGATGAATGGGCTATATGGATTATGCTACTGTTACAGCTTTTTTCTAACTTCATTTTGCTTTATGTAGTATGTGCCTTAATAAAACAGCTAAGAGTTCTCAAAAAGACAACAAGAACAATGGAAAGGGCAGCTATCAGAGGAGAGGCAGTACATTGGCATTTGGCCGCGTGTTTAGTGGAGTCGGCTCTGCAAATGTGCTGGATTGTAGTCTGTCCCTGTGGAAGCAGAGGAAAGGTACCAGATAGAAGTCACAAGCTTAGACTTCCAGACACGTGGAAATGACCCGCAGGCAACTCTATACTCAGCTCAAGGAAGCATTTTCTTAACATTAGAAAAGTCCAGCAATTGGATAGACACCTATGAATTCCTGAATGATGTCACTGTGCAGCAGTACGTATTGGCAGGAAATGATGCACAGACAATTCCAGAATTAATGGAGTAGAACTCAATGACTTCTACTGGATTTTAATGACTTATGAGTTTGTCTTTGAAGGCTTACGAGTCTTAATGACAGTAACTGGTCACACATAATGCAGATAATGCAGGTTTATCATCATTTCCCAGTGGGTAGCTATCCATTGCTTTTTAAAATCACCTTAGTAAAAAGTTTACATCTGTATTATGACTGATCGCTGTACTTTAACCGGGTCATAAACTGTGTTTTATATACTTTTTCTTGGGAGCACATATCAACTTCCTAAAATAAAGTCCACCTGTGTACTAATTGTGCAGAACATTCCACAGTTTATCCTCAAGTGTTCAATGAAACAAGGAATGTGAATTTGTGGTCTCTTAGATTATGTCGTCGAAAGACAACGATGTGTATTGTTAGGACATCCTAAGAACCCAGAGTCTCTTGTACCTTTAATGCGTATTTCTGGCTCAAGAAAACTCATCAAATCCTCTCCAAACACCCATTGTTTAAAAAGAAAATAGGTAGGAATAAAATTTCACAGCAATTTGGTCAAGTGACATCCGAGGTATTACAGGATATAAAATATTTTATAAAGTAACTAAATCTTAGAACACAGGACGAAGAGAGATCACAGAGGCTGAGACGAGGCCCCATGTTTTATGGGTCAGGAAACTGAGGCTCCTCCCTGTCAATGAATCCATCAGTTCCCACAGGAGACCGTTATATGTGTCTATGTGCACACACTTAGGGAATCCGTAGATATCTTCATAGACATTTACTAATGCGCGTGAGATTTGCATTTCTAATATTCTTTCTGTAAAAGCCTGTCTTTGACTTGATCATCATGCTAAAAATTAAATTCTTTCTTCTTTTTTCCTATCAAACCAACATCCCTTCTGTGTAATGCTCCTAAATGTCTTGTTCTTACTTCCTAAGGACAGTGGGTAATAAGGTGAGGGAATTTCGGCTTCTCTGCTCTTTTTTGTTCTGTCTTCACTTTAACGTTTAATTTTTATTCATTTCCTTTTCCTTGAGTGTTTGTGCTTTGTGATTCCTTTGATAGAGAACATCCCTCAGCTATGTTTCAAACCTAGAAGCACTGTGTTTTGAACATTTAGCTTGTGGACATGTGGAGTTAGATGGTGAAATTCATTGTTTCATTTGTCTAGGTTTTCATAATAAATCACACTGGGGCCGACCAAGCAGATGTTCTCAAAGACTATTTCGTTACCATATCGAGGAGTGTTAAATCCAGACCAGACATGCATCACCTTCTTTGAAGAAGATCTGGATACATTTTGTTTTTGCTAGCAATTTAATCTATATTCAACTGTTGGAGCCTCTTTAATCAGTTTTCTAATTATAAGTGCACTTATGCCTTCTTCTGTGCCCTGTGGAAGCGTGTGTCTGCGTGTGCTTGGGTGCACTTGCACAGTTTCGTGTACACACACACTCTGACCTGCCAATCCAGGGAAAAAGGCACCCAAAGCCCGGGCTGCTCTGAGAACCTTAGAGCAGGAGCAGATGGTCGGGCACGCCAAGGCTGCGGAAGCAAAAACGTAAGCCAGTCTGACTCGTGACCAGATTTGTGTTTCGCACTTGGATCTGCTTGGTTGCCCAGCACACTTAGTGGATCATGTGGCGCTCACTTGATACCTGTTCATCTGCTCGGGTGTGTGTACTGTGGTGGCGGGAAGTGCATCCTGTGTCTTAAGCCCCCTCCTGACCGCACTGTGCATTCCACCTGGGACGACCGTGGTCTGTAGCTGAGTGCGAGCAGTGTAGTTCTCTCTCCCCAGAGATCTTTTGCTTTTTGGGAACGTGTAGAAGGAAGGGGAGAGATTACAAATTGCTTGGGAAACCCTCCCTGGATAGCTTGGAGGGGCTCTAGATGGGGAGGAGGTAGTGTGTGCTTATGGAGTATGTCTTCCAGGTATATATTAGCCCAGGTATATAGGAACCCAAGCACTGACACCAACTAGGATAATTATTGCTAATGCTCTCTGAGCCAATCAGTTCCTATTACCCAGGCTTTTTTCTTTTTACACACTTAGTGTGCTCTCAGGGCTTCACACTTAATTCTCACAACAATCTCTAAGATAAATAACGTCCTTATGTTATAGACTAGAGGCCCGATGCACGAAATTCGTGCAAGAGTAGGCCTTCCTTCCCCCGGCTGCTGGCACTGGCTTCCCTCCGGGACCCGGGCTTCCCTCACAGCCCCCGGCTTCGTCTGGAAGGTCGTCTGAAGGACGTTTGGTCTAATTAGTATATTACACTTTTATTATTATAGATAAGGAAACTGGGGTTTAGAGTGGCTAAGTCATTTGCCCAAAGAATAAAGTCATGGAAGTGGGACTGGAACCCAGGAGGTGTGTTTGCAGAGTTGGCGTCTGGAAGGGTTCCATGGTTGTTGTCATGTCAGTCACCCCACTTCTAGCCCTCCCTGCCATCTGTTGCTCCCCACCGCATCTCCACTGGGTGGTTCATCAGCCATTGTGGGTGAGGAAGGCTACCCCCATTTGCCAGAACATAGTTCTCCTTCAACCCATTGACTGTACTGCACGCCTTGATCTGCATCATCTCTCATTATTGGCTCCCTTTCCCTTTCCAGTAACATTTCTTTCCTTTTCTCTTGACCCCGACAGACATCTCAGCCAAGCCCTGGTGGTCAGTCTTCATGCAGCAGCCAACAGTCCCCCGTCAGCAACTATTCCAACAGTGGGCTCGACCTTCCTCTGAGCGAAGGAGGTGGTGTGGGAGACCTCGGTGCCATCGACGAAACCCCAATCATGGACTCGACCATTTCCACTGCAACCACAGCCCTCGCTCTGCAAGCCAGGAGAAACCCAGCAGGGACCAAATGGATGGAGCACGTCAAACTAGAAAGGCTCAAACAAGTGAATGGAATGCTTCCGAGACTGAACCCCATCCTACCCCCCAAAGCCCCTGCAGTCTCTCCTCTCATAGGAAACGGTGAGTTCCATGACAGACCATGTTTCTGCTCAGGATTTTCGGTTCTTTTAAATGCAATCACAATAGTGTGAGAGGAACCGGGCCCTGGGTTTTATGCTTGCTAACTTTTCCACCAGACTTAAAATTATGCTGCAATCATACATATTAATGTATGGAGAGTCCATATTTTATTTTATTTTTTTTAATATATTTTATTGATTTTTTTACAGAGAGGAAGGGAGAGGGATAGAGAGTTAGAAACATCGATGAGAGAGAAACATTGATCAGCTGCCTCCTGCACACCCCCTGCTGGGGATGTGCCTGCAACCAAGGTACATGCCCTTGACCAGCATCGAACCCGGGACCTTTCAGTCCGCAGGCCGATGCTCTATCCGCTGAGCCAAACCGGTTAGGGCGAGAGTCCATATTTTAAAGGGATAATGCTGAAACAAAAAGTAAGCCTGTGCGTGACTCATACTCTGATGTTGACATGGTAACGATTAGACCAGGTGAAGAAATCCCCGCAGCGGGGGCATCTGTGGTCAGGGCCTGTGCCTTGTTTCTGAAAGTAGGAGGTTAGCAGCCACCTTCCTGATGTTTGTCCAGGTCAGGGAAAGGCAGGCAACCATTTGCACTCTCGGCCCAGGTCAGTTTTTGCGTCTGAGATAACACTGGGTGCCTGGAGCTGCCCCCGAAGGTGAAGACCGTGGTGTGTTGCGGTTTCATAGGGTGTCACGGGGAGCCCTGCGTGTGGACGTGAAGTCCTGTAGTGCCTTTGGCCTATGGACGTGCCTGTACTCAGTGCTGTGTATATACCTGAGCTTTGCATTCAGTCCTTGCATTAGGCCTGTGAGGACTGTAACTGATCCAGGCAGTCCTTACTGTTCTGTCTAACCAAGGGTCCCAGAACTTGCCCGTGAGCTTGTAAATAAAGTTTGATTGGCCTCCAGCCACACCCACTCCTTCGGGTGCCTGTGGCTCTGGGTGCTGCACGACAGAGGTGGGTGTCTGTGACAGAGGCTGCCTGGAGTGGGGAGCTGACAACAGTTACCGCGTGGCCTTTCCCCCTCTGCTGAGGCCTGGATCAAGTCACCCTGAAATGAATTCCCCTCTCCCACACTTTCTCTGCAGGCACCCAGCCCAGTAACAGCTGCAGTGTGGGCGGGCCCATGACCCTCCTCCCGAACAGAAGCGACCTCTCCGGGGTGGATGTCACCATGCTGAACATGCTCAACAGGAGGGACAGCAGCACCAGCACCATCAGCTCGGCCTACCTGAGCAGCCGCCGCTCCTCGGGCATCTCCCCCTGCTTCTCCAGCCGGAGGTCCAGCGAGGCGTCCCAGGCCGAGGGCCGGCCCCAGAACGTGAGCGTGGCCGACTCCTACGACCCCATCTCCACCGACGCCTCCCGCCGGTCCAGCGAGGCCAGCCAGTGCGACGGGCTGCCCAGCCTGCTCAGCCTCACGCCGGCCCAGCAGTACCGCCTGAAAGCCAAGTACGCGGCCGCCACCGGCGGGCCCCCACCCACGCCGCTGCCCAACATGGAAAGGATGAGCCTGAAGACCAGGATGGCCCTGCTCGGGGATGGCAGGGAGTCCGCGGGGACCCTGCCTCCGGTCCACCCTCCCCGCAGGTGTAGCGACGGGGGAGCCCACAGTTACGGTCGGCGGCCCCTGCTGCCCCAGGACGCGCTGGGCCACGGCGTGAGAAGAGCCAGCGACCCGGTGAGGACGGTCTCGGAGAGCCTCTCCCTGCCCAGGGTGCAGCGTTTCAACAGCCTCAACAGCTTCAACCCCCCGGTCTTGCCTCCAGCCCTGGAAAAGCGTAACTTAGTGCTGCAGAACTACACGCGGCCGGAGGGCGCTCCGCCCCGCCACTTCCGCACGTCCCCCTGTCCTCCGAGCATCGCAGAGAACGTCACCCTGGAGTCCCTGACCATGGACACCGACGTGAGCCTGAACGATGAGGACTTCCTGCCCGACGACGTGGTGCAGTATTTAAATGCCCAGAACCAAGCCGGCTACGAGCAGCACTTCCAGAGCGCCCTCTCTGATGACAGCAAAGCGGCCCCGGGGCCCAGCCTGGGGAGCGGGCATGGCGACTTCGAGCA